ACTTCAAAGACTTGAACCCATGATCTCATGGTTCATGGCGAGCACTTCTAACCAAATCACCCTATGATGATTTGTGAACAAATCAGTTATGTACCTATAACAATCATACCTTGTTATTATGATTCGGCAGTAACATTATCTCAGAAGGGTAGTAACATCATATGTTACTGCAAAAATATATAGGTTGTTACTGCAAACTTTATAGGTTGTTACTGCACTTTTGGCAGTAACAATATAACAAAGTTTGCAGTAACAGAGAACATGCATAGCAACAGTGGCCCTATAGTAGTAATGTTTTTTTAGATCTAGAGTATTTTAAATCTTAATCTTTAGAGAGTACTAACGTACACGTCATGTCTTATTTTTCTAACCCATTTGTATCATGGCGTTGATAAAAAAAAGTGCTTAACGAAACTAGAACCATCATAACTACTTTTTAACGTTGTTACTGCGAAAAGCAGAAGTGTTACTGCATATTGGCCATCGTCTTACTACGCTATTCCAGTGAGACGAGGACTAAAAAAGAGGTAAATCTCAATCTTTAGAGAGCAATATCTCTCACATCATATCTTGTATTTCCAATCCGTTTGCACCATGAAGTTCATAAAAAAACGCTTAACGAAACTAGATCCATCATGGCTACTTTTTGACGTTGTTACTGTGATAATGTTGTCTTGTTACTGCAGGATGACCGTCCTGTTACTGCATGATTCCTGCAAGACGAGAGCAACAAAGTGATGGGCAGGGGAGGGAGTGGTGGGCGGGTTTGACCGGCGGGAGGACGCTTTGACCGAGGTGGGAGGGGGGTTTTGGACCCTAGGGAGGGTGGGGGAGGTGGGTTTGGCCCATGGGAGAGAGGGTGTAGAATAGTTATTATAGGGGAGGGGTGTAGAATAGATTCACTATATACATATATATACATATACATATATATATATGTATGTACGTATATACATGTATACATGTATGTACGTTATATATACATACATACATACATACATACATACATATATAGACATATATATATATATATATATATATATATATATATATATATATATATGTATATATATACACACACACACATACATACATATATACATATATACATATATATATACATATGTATATATACATATGTACATATATTGCAAAATATAATGGCTAAGAGAGTTCAATATACATTTCAAATATAGCAACCTAATACTTAATTATAAACAAAGACTTTTATTACTAAATTACCCATACTATTCCTTGGCTTTATTACATAGTTAGTCATCTCAGTACGTATCTCACCCATCCCATGGGGATAATAAATTTTTTTTATTCCTCTCCATTTAATACGAATATCAAATGCTAAAACTTATTATATTTTAAAATGAATGTAATATATATATACCACCCGCCAAGCAATTAGCAAAAAACGAGCACGAGCTAGGCGTTCATGGTTATGACAGCAAAATTTATATTAGAGCAAGTTTAATAGTACAGCCCACTACTAGCTTCAAATCATCTATAGCCAATGTAATAGCTAATTCATACAATAGTTGCTTACTATATATTAATACCTGGTCCCACCTGTCATACACACATTACGTCTTGGAGTCCGTGCTGCAGCTGGCTACATATATGTAGCCCGCTGCTCTTCTCTCTCTTCCTTTATCTCTTTAAAATATGTTTATAGCTGGCTTATAGCCTGCTATTGTACCTGCTCTTAGCTCTAGCTGGATGCATGTATAGGGGCATGTACAAAGATAGAGTTTAATATGAGCACTTTGTATTAATTAATGTCACTAGAGACTATCCTCCTACAATATAAGCTTTCTAAATCATTAATATACTAAATATCTTTTTTATTATACATCTTTCCTTTTTCCATCCTCATGCAACAAATTTTCCGTTAATAAATGCTAATAGTCGACTCTGAGCCGTTGTCATACGTAGCAACGATGTTTCTCCTTCCTTTTCATCTCTTTCTTTCACGTAACCAAATTTACTTGCATGACAACGAAGAGAGTCCGTTATTAAACACAATTGTACATGCCCTAACGCAGTTAATTAGTTTTTGTCGAAGAATCAGGGACGCTGAGGTAGGTAGTTACATGCATGTAGGCCAAGTTAGTCGCTGTCCGTAGAATAATGGCGTTGATATATAGTAACCCTGAATTATTTCTCAAAAGAAAGGGGAACAAATTAACACAGAGTGAGATAGAATAATGGAAACCCAGAAATGAAACGTCAATAATGCCGACAAAAGGGGAGCACACATATCTTGCTCACTGCAAATGGCCGGAGATGCTCGACACGACTTGCTTTCAGCCTTTCAGCAGGTACGCACATGCTGAATTATTCTTTTTTTTTCTTTTCTGTAATGTTTTTTCCCCTACACAGCTCCAGGGTTTACCTTTCATTTTATCAGTCATAGCCAAAAGTTAAATTTAATTTGAAGATTAATTTTATAGTTGATATCGATTTTTCATTGTAGTTTATTTCTCACATTGGGTTTTAAGCCTTGCTATAAAAACACAAAAACAAATTATTCATAAATTAAATAAATCACTTTTATCGTTAATTAGCGTTACGGTTATATAGTTAGCGATATAATGTCCGTCAAAACAACTTGGTCTTTGCATGCATGCAAGCACGGATGACAAAGTCTGAGTGTGGTGTCTCAAAACAACGACAAAGTCGGAGTGTGGTCCTCAATATATGGACATCACATACATGTTCGACAAATCCCAATATTTACATCAATATTGCGCCAGAACAATCAATAATTAATCAATTGATTGGGAGAGAGATCTAAGATCATTGAGCAAAAACAAAACTAAATGACATTTTTTTCCCGATTACACGGAATATGCATACGCGCGTCCATACAACCAGCTATACCAATACCTTAGCTAGCTCCCTAAAGTTGTATTAAAAGCGCACAAGTGAGTATATTATATATATTCGTGGGGTACCAGGATTTAAATATATATTGATTGATGATCTCACATGTTCGTCAATTCATTCCAACAATAAATACTTCATTGAGAGAGACCATGAGCAGCATGCATCCATATGCATTTGAGATCTCACCGTACATTTGAAACTGCAACAGATCTCGTGGATAGCCTGCATTCCTGCTTGGTAAATATAGAAATTGAAAAAAAAATCTCACATTTAAACGGTGATATCAGACAATCATATAAAGTTAATTCTGAGAATAAAGTAAAATTCATTTGTGAGATATAAAATTTAAAAACATCAGAGAGTGTATATCATAAATGAAGTTCTATAATTAATGTTAAGTTTCCATCTAAGATTTCTCTGTTTGCTTGCATTTTTCTATCACAATACTTATGACAAGAGTAAAGAAGCTAGATCGTTTAGATGGCATCAGTGGCTAGCACTATAAATAGATACTACAACCATCATAAAATATAAATAATTTTACCTATGTAACTACTCCCTCCGTCCCCAAAATATTTTTTTTATTATGAACCTAGATAGTCCAAAAAGAGACTCTTCAAGGCTGTGTTCTGCGGTGCATGATAAAAACTAATACCTCTCGTTTTTCGCGCGCACACTTTTCAAACTGACAAACGGTGTGTTTTTTTGCAAAAAATTTCTATATGAAAGTTGCTTTAAAAATTATATTGATCTATTTTTTTTAAAAAAAAGGCTAATACTTAATTAATCATGTGCTAATAGACCACTCCGTTTACATGTAGGAGGGATTAGTTCCCATCATGCAATGCCGAACGCAGCCTAAGAGATGAACAGAGTACATGAACAAAATACATTGTATTTGCGGAGGTACATTGTAGATTATAGACAATATAGATCCATAATTCGTCATTTCTTTTCAGATTATCTCGTGCATAACTGTCAACGCTGATAAGTTTTAAATTCCTTTTTAAAATATCGGTTGCAGCATGTATGCTTAATTTTTCATAAGTATAAAATCTCTATTTCAATCTCAAGTATATATAGGTTAAATTTTTCATTATAGAATGAATCTATATTTGAGCTATACAGCATGTGTCATGAGGGAGTTCTCACATATAAAATGGAAATACATATTGTTGAACTTAATTAAAGCTCTAAAGAATTGATCGTCTCCAATTCGTAATTCGTAATTTCTGCTGCTTTTGTTTTCAATCTCAGCAAAGTTTATGTGGAGAATAGAGCAAACTAGATAGGAGTTGGACGTGAATGTCTTTTATTTTTGTTCCAGATTTGAAAATTTTGAAACCTGTATTTCTTATATACTACCAACATTTTTTTAATAGATGATGCGGTTAATTTTTAACATTATGTTTGACGACCATTCGTCTTGTTAAAACAGTATGTAAATATAATTTATTTTGTTGTGACTGGTTTTAGTTAAGCATGACTTACATTTGTGCATTAGTTTTTAATAAAACGATGGTCAAATGTCATGTCAAAAGTCAACAATATTATTTACTAAAAACCGGTGGGAGCATAATTCAGTGAAATGAGCGTAGGTCTTTACTAGTTAGGATTCTTATGGTGGAACTGGCCCGTTCGGATTTAAGTTCTAGACTTAGTATATGTGCTCCAATATTTTTTTTTTGAGATCAGACCAAATATGATTTGATCCGGCTTTTGGGAGATATGTGCTCCAATTTACGGTTAATTTTTCTTCTAGTTATAGGCGACACACCCATCCAGCTGAGTCTCTCAAAGGAGATAATAGGGTGAGTGTGTTCATTCATACTGAGGAGCTGATCAGGGTAGGGTGTCTATTATTCATAGGGGTAAATCTGCGTGCAAGTATGTAATTAAGCACATGCGTTTCTCATGCACGACGCGCACGTTTCTACTGTGTTTACGGGAAAATTTTAAACCATATAACAATTCAACTGTGCCACAAGTCACAAACACAAATTACTAACAAACAGTACTGGAAACATTAACATACAGTGTAGTGGATATTACTTATCATCCATGAATCATGATTCGCAGCTTGCAATTAATTGGAGGCGCAAACGAGAGATCGATCGAGTAATAAGACGTACTAGTGCGGATCATCCGATCATGGTGATCGTGGAGATAGAGATGGATTATTGCGTGCATATGGCGAAGTAGTAGTAGACGCTAGCTACAGAGATGATCTAGAGGCCGAGCTCGAGGACAAGCTCCTCGCCGGCGACGCCGCCGCCGGAAGAGCCCCTTTCGGTCGAAGCGAAACCGGCGCCGGCGCCGAGCGCCGCCGAGCCTGAGCCGAGGGAAGGCATGGGCGCCGCCGTTGTGTCGTCGTCGCTGGCAGCGCCGCCGCACCACCGGCCGTCGGCTGCCGTACTACTCCCCGCCGCCGTGACGCCATGGGAGGCGATGGGCATGGACGCTGATCCGCCGCCGTCGCCGTAGACGTTGGGGTTCCAGCTGCCGCCGGCGACGCGCTCCTTCCGGTGCGCGTTCTGGTGGCCGCCGAGCGCCTGCGACTTGCGGAACGTCTTGGCGCAGAAGAGGCACGGGAACAGCCTCACTTGCTTGCCGTCGACGATCGCCGTCGGCGCCGCCTCGTCGCGGTTCCTCGCCGCCGCCGCCGGCAGGGACAGGGACAGCTCCACCGGCGGAGAAGCCGGAGCCGGCCAAGAAGCCGATGAGGGATCCATGAAAGGAAAATGGGACAAGCTATATTGGGAAAAGCTAGTTATTTCCGAATCCGAGTTTATTTTGGATTGCTAGATCAGGTGCTTCCCCGTTATTCCTCATATAGACTTTTCTCCCCTAAATGTATCAAAGGGACCAATTATATGAGGAAAAAAAAGGTGTACTACTACATCGTCTATAGTATGTGGCTGCTAGCTACACCGGCTCTGTCTCAAAATATAGCGATCTAGTACTTATTAGAATTTAAAGCATACAATACCATGAATCTGGACTAATATCTAGTACTAAAGGCTTATTCGGTTTAGAGGAATTTCAACCCATAAGAATAGGAAAATTGGAGGAATAGTAAAACATGCACATTTCAATTTATAGGATTTTTTTTCAAGAAATTTGAGTGGATGGAATTTCCTATATTTTCTCTCCACAACTTGTATGAAAGAAAAATATCCTTTGGTTTTCCTATATATATATTCTACGAATCAAATGACGTGTACTTATATGAATTAATCATTGGGAATCCAAATTCTTCGTTTTCATTCAAAACGAACAATCTATAAGTTATTATTTTAGAACGGAGAGAGTAATGGCTGCAAAATGACACATGTGATTCGTACAAAACACAAATGTGCGGCCACAGCAACGTACTGTCAGCACTCTCAGCAGGCAATAATCCTATGTACTCCTACACCGATCAAGATTCTCACACTGCTACAAATATGTTGTGCTCTGTGCCGTTGGAAGGCTGGCTGACTTTTCCAACTATATATGGGAAGGAGAAATGCTGATTTGGGGCACTCAAAATCGTAGAAATTTTCAAACAAAATATTGAAAAAATTTCTTAGTTTGAAAAAAAAAAACAAGGACAAACTTCACCTATCTTTGTAGTAGACTAGCAGTAGGTGAAAAAGCTTTGAGGGAAGACTAGGACACATGCATGTAGCCATGCTCCCTGCCCTCCCCGCCCTCCCCGCCCTCTGCATTAGTTAATTGGTATAAGTAATACAGTTATTATCTTCGGGAGGAAACTGTAAGCTGCTAGGGAACCTTTGAGGTGCTTCTGATAGATTTAGCTTATCACAGAATCAAAAGTTACTTCAAACAGTCTAGCTTTTCATCTATACTAATATCATCTAGAAAATAAGCTAGAAGCTAGAAGGTGGCTACCAACCAACTATTTCTCATATTCTTAAACTTTCCAAAACAGGATCTCAGTTCTCATACTTTTCGACTTTGTGTACACGCACATTTAAAATAAATGATTGCTATTCAAAGACCTAGCTCGAGCTGATTCATAGTATATTAGCTAGCTATATTTTAGGACATAGTTAGTACATCAGTTCTTCAGCATCAAAATCCCTAACTAGAGATAAAGTTATTATTGTCCTCTTGCTATGCAAGTGGCCTGCCATCTTTTCAAGCAATTGCTGGAAAGCTCATTTTGGTGGAAGGACATTTTCAAGTCAATAATCACTTCCAATGGAATAGCATGCCGGAAAGTACCATTTTGAAGATGGCTCCACAACTACTTTAGTTATTTTGGACAGAACTATCACAAGTACAGAACACCACATAGGGACTGGCCTAAAACCGACATCTATAAGGTTTTCTATACAAATGAGCCATTTTGGCATAATCAAATTAAGAAACGACACTTATAATCAGTCATTGGTGCCGGTTCATAGTAAAAACCAGAACCAAGTTCTACAAAGTAATAGACGCTAAGAACCGGCACTTATAGACGTCATATATGTGCTGGTTATTTTTAAAAAACCGACACCTATGAGTACAACACCATATGTGTCAGCTTTTACTATGAACCGGCACATATATGGGTATCACATATGTGCTTGTTCTATAAAAATCAGCACCTATGAGTCCGTAAGTACCAACTGACAATGAAAACCAACATATATGATGATCACCACTTATATATTGTGTTTTGCACGTACTTTTCCATGAGGCGGATGAGTATAAACTTTATATGAAATATTTAGAGCTCATCCATATCTACAACTGTGTAGTTGATGAATTTTTTTTTTCATTTGAGGTCATTTGTATGTCTTAAAGTGTGTTATAAGTTCTCAGATCCAATACAAAATTTTTAAACGATTTTGAATGGACACAAAATCTATATGAAAGTTATAGATCTCAATGAGATCTACAATTGTACCAATAGTTATAGGCCTACCAGTAGTACCAACAGTTCAACTAAATAATCCTAATAAGCTCAAACAAGAAAAAAAATGTTTGTTTGATAAAACTTTACGTGTGGAATGAGGGTGCGTTTCTCATTTAAAACAGGGCCTTAAACATCCTAAGTTCTGACAGACCATCACAGTCTTCACTCTCTGTTGGGTACAGATATATAGTGCCGGAAATTAATGCTGATGCACGTCGTCAATACAAGCAGAAGGTTTTCACACCTGGCTAAGACGATCATCAACACAAATTCTATGCTTTGCAAGAAGATATATATTATTATTCTACACAATATTATATTAATATAATGCGTTATGTCCTGCTCTAAAGATAATATGCATGATGGAACAAGGTATCTGTAGCATCTATTGTTTTTTTTAGATAATAGGAATAATTTACATCTCTGTCCCTACCGCTAATAAAGATGCACACAATAATCAAGCCAATATATAGCATCTATTGTTAATGCATATTTGCACGACACCATCGTCAACATAAAAAAAAAATCTCCGTTGCCTTGGTGTGCGTAACAGTTAGTATCTTATCTTCAATCAAATTCAGCTCTCAATACAAACATGCAGTCTAAATTGAAAATATAGTTTGCTGTTGAACAAAACTAGCTACTCTGATCCCGTCAAATATTTTTTTTTGAACAACTGCTCCCGTCAAATATTATTCACTACTACATAACCTCAAATTTCTAACGGATTATTTGTGACTATTCTAATATATAGCCTCCTTACATATAACTATATAATAACATATATTTAATCGTTTTTTAAATTAATCGTTAAAGATATCAATTGGGGTTGAGGTGACCACCACCGATAATTATAAAACTGTAACGGTTTCAAATTAAATAATATTGGTGGAATGCGTAACGGACAACAAAACCATACTGAGATCGAATGTCGGAAGTAAACTAGTAAATTAAAGTGACTGGAGGGAGTAGTATGTGTAGCAAATAAACGATGCAGTGAGCCGCTTCAATAAGATCGAAAAGCATAAAAATGCTAGATCGAGTGGTGTGTGCCTGTGTGGCATGGGTTGAAGTTTTGAACTGAAAATATATGGTGTACATGCATGTGACGTCAAACATTTTTAAAGCATCATCATAGTTGTTTGTTTTAAATTTTCCAAAAAAAAAACTCTCTCTAGCGCGGTTTTGTCGATAACCGAGATCATAACAAAATCAAAAACATAATTTATCAAAAAATTACATACGCTCAGCTTGAATGTTCCTAAATAAACCATAGTTGGATAAGCCCAAACCAACTCAGTATAAGATCGATATACTCACTCTGTCCCAAAATAAGTGCAGTTTTACACTGTTTACGTTCAACATTTGACCGTTCATCTTATTTAAAATTTTTTTATGATTAGTATTTTTATTGCTATTAGATGATAAAACATGAATAGTACTTTATACGTGACTAAATATTTCTAATTTTTTCTCAAAATTTTCAAATAAGATGGACAGTCAAACGTTAAACACGGATATCCACGACTGTATTTATTTTGGAACAGAGGTAGTATAACAGAGTGACAACCGAATGAGAATTAATTAATGATTTTGAGCTTAACTATCTATCGCCAACAAGATGCACTGTGTCTGATGCTCGATCGTACTAGGTCGCAGCTCCACTTGGCCACTTGGCCACCGGCGCAGCATCCCGTACGTGGGCCCCACTGGTTGCTCCTCCATTGGTGGACCCGCCAGACAATTGCTACAGTGCGCTCTTGTCTTTGCCTCTCGGTTCTCACGACATCTACCCTCACACGATGAAACGTATGTGAGAACATCTGAAATTTTAATGAATTGGCTATTTCCATAAACTTATTTTGATATTGGACCGTGTAAAACAAACTTAAAAAAAAACGGATGGCAAGCTCAGCGTTAGACCCTTGTTGTATGCGTTGTACACTCCAATACCAATGAGAGACACGTTGACGCTAACCCCTATTTCAACATGGCTCCAGAGCTGTTCTCCCCTCCTACGTGACAGGTCCTCCACACCAACCGCTTCGGTCTGAGCTCTACGCCTCGACACTCGACCCGTTGGCACCACCGACACGGTTGGCGCTGAGGGCCAGCCTACCACGTAGATGAGGGGATCAGTTTGAACGCCACATGGACATGAGGCCTCATGCTGGCCTGTGCTGGCCTATTGAAGTTTCAAAGGGATTGACGGGAGCTCGCATAATTCAATTTTTTGTTACAGTTTTGAGTCTCACTTCGGTGCCTTCTATCTAGAGTAGAAAAAATATGAACCATTGATCTCATTTGATCCAATGGTTTAGATTTATTTCTACTACCACTACACTTAATGGTAGTAGAATCGTGGAGGGGTACTTTTGTCCATGAAAAATTATCTGCGGAGGGATATTTTCGTCCTTTCCCCCCAAATCTGGAGCCGATGCGGAGAGAACCCCACGGCTCCCATCACCATCTTCACGACCTCGCCTGCTCCACCGCCCTCGACGCCTCCTACTCCCTCGCCTCGGCCCCACTCACCACCTCAGCCGCCCTCGACGAGCTCGCATCTCCGTCCGGGATCGCCAGAGCTGCGCCCTCTCCCGCCGCTCCCCCGCGTCGGCCCACCTTCCGACGAGTTCGCCACCCGGATCTTCGCCTCCGACCCCAGTACCGTGCCACCGGCCGCCGCCGAGACCTCGTCCTCCTCGCTATCTCCTTCCTCGTCGTCGTCCTCCTCCCCCACGCTCGGCTCCAGCCCTGTCCATCTCCCCCTGCCGTTGATCCCACAGCCGCGAGGGCGAGTCCCCAATCCATCGCCTCCCAAGC